CGTCCCCTGCTTTCCCCCTATATAGGAGCTGCATAGTGTGTGGGAGGGAGGAGCCGGGAACTTCCCAAAACGAAGGTGCAGGGGACGGTAGCCCTTGCTTCGTCTTCATCCTGTCTGTAGCCCCTACCCCAGCTTTGCAGAAGTGAAAGAGGGAAGCAGTTCTGTGAGGGTGAGCAGGGCTGGGGGCATGTGACTGGGCACTGGGGAAAGGAGGGTGCTGGGGCCCTGTTCCCTGGGGTCTGTGTTGGCCAGGTGGAGGTGTTGGGTTCCACAGGGAGCAGACACTTTGTGTGACCCCTTGAGAGTGTTAGGCCTTCAGCGGGGCTGGGAGGACACAGGGTGGGGCTGGGAACTCCCCCCTCCTCCCCCCCCCCACCGGGCCTGGCAGCAACCTGCATGCCTTTGCTGTTGGCTGCTCAATAGGACAGAATTTCATGGTCCAAATGTTCTTGCCACATTCTCTGGGTGCCCTGAAAGAGGGATGGGAGCTGCCTCCTTTGTGGATCTAAGTTTGACCCCCTCTCATCCCCACCACTACTCCTGGTGATTGGTTTGTGGATTGTGCCAGTGCCCTGAGATCCTCAGAACAGTGCTGGGGGGTGGGGGTGGGGCGGGGGACACTCTTGGCTAGCACATTCAGCATAAATGGCGCTTTCTTACCACTCCAGGCTCAGTGGTGCTCAGCACCGGGCCCACTGCAGGGGGTGCCAGGCCTCTGGACTTCCCTTGGCCTGGACCCTGCCTTTACCCCTCCCTAGCCAACTCCTCATCTGTTTGCTTGCAGTTTCCACAACTAGTCCTGGACACTGAAGCTGCCCAATCTTCCTCTCACCCACCCCTGAGTACCTTAAACTCTGGCCCTCTCCCACCTCCCACCCAGCAAGAGGCCTGCAAGGTGCTACCCCTGCCTGGCTAGCCACTTCTCTCCAGCTACAACCTTATGAGACCTTTCCCAACACTTCTCCCTTCCTGAAGCAATGAGATCTGGAAGGGAACTGAGGATTATCATGTTTCTTGGGATGCTGAGGAAGAGGGTGGGACCACTGAGGGAGTCAGGACCCCCAACCACCCCACCAGCAGTTCTTTGAGCCGCCTGATCCCCTCAGAGATGGAGTTTGGTCATTTAGTCCTGGGTCTCTGACTGTCTATATTTGACACCTTACCCTGATTTTTGGGTAAAAAATAGCACATGATTTGGAGCAGTGCTCCCTGACTCCCTGGTGACTGTTGCTTGCTTGACTGTGGGAGCCAGTGGCCTATGGTGCCGCCTTGTTGTGTCTGACTTTTGACCTTGCTGGGGATTTCCTCCTCCCTGCCCTGGATAGTGGGTCCTCGTTTTTTTTTCCCTCTCCCTGCCCCTACCCTGCATTGACACTAGGTCCAGGGCCTCGCATCCCCCTGATGACCCAGTTGTTGCCTTTATGGAGGTTTCTGCTAAGGACAGAGAGCCCAATTCCAGACTATCACCTGGGGCAGGGGGACTGGTCCCTCTGGCTAGGCACATAGTGGTGGGCAGTGTGAAGGGTGGTCTGGGGCCTTTGAGCCCGAGCCCTAGGTTTCCTGCAGGGGGCAGGATTTAATAGGCCAAGAAAAGAGAGGAAGGCAAAACCCAGGACAGTCAGTGAGGGTGTTTTGGAGGTCAGTGTGTGTGTGTGTGTGTGTGTGTGTGTGTGTGTGTGTGTGTGTGTACACGCATGCGCACATGTGCATGGGGGGAGGGGTTTGGTGACTCAGGCCACCACAAAGACTGAGGCATGAAGGAACCCTATCTCCTGGAGCGGAGGGTGAGGGTCAGGGGACTCAGATGCAAAAAGCGGGCCAAAGCCAATTTGTCAGATCGGGGCTCACGCCAGCTACTGACCTAGGGCCTGGGGTATGCGTGCAATGGGGATGAAGTCACAGGTGACCTGTACACCAGAGCCCAGCTGGACACAGCCTCACCCTGCCCTGACACTGGCTAACACAGGGCGGTGGACCTGGCATCTCGCACCAAGTGCAGACTGGGCGACCTGTCCCTCCAGGGGGCTTGGAGGTTGCTGGCCAGATGTCAGGAGAGCAGTCTGACCGCTACACAATTGACAATGAGCTTTAAGAGCCTGAGCTAGAGTTTCTCTGATACTGTGAAATTGAGGGTAATAAGTTAAGTGGTCACATAGCCTCCCTCCCCCCAGCTGTGCTTCTAATCCTGTGAACTTCACCCTGGAGTAAGCCTGGGGGGTGAGGGAAGGGGGAGGACACAGAGAAGCCTAAACAAAGATAGAGACACAAGAATCCTGCTGCTTTGCTTGCCAGGTGCCCATGGGGCCTGCTCCTAGAGGAGAGGGGCCCCTGGCAGGGGCCCCAGGGGAGATGGTGCCCCACTCCAGCTCCTCAGGCCTCAGGCCCAGCCGCCTGACAGAGCTGCTCCCACCCTTCCTCGCCCCCACTTGGCTCCAAGTCGTGCCAGCCTGTCGCTGCAGGCAACGAAGCACGAACACGTCATGGTACCCCAAATGGTGCTCATTAACCTCCCACTAGGGGCACCTCTGCCTGGACCCAGAATTTGGCACTCTCACAGAGCCCCCGCCCTACCTTCTCTGTTCTTCGGAGGAGGGTTGGGCTGGAGAAACCCCCTTTTTGCTGAGAGACACAGGAAGACGGAGACGGCAGAGGGGAATGGGACAACAAGGCAAGGCTGGCCTTGGGGCCCCCACAGAGCTAGAGTTCGCTGTGGACAGTGTCAGAGAGACTGCCACGTCCCCCATATCCTTGTCTCACCGAGGCCCAGTGCACTAGGACTAGGGATAGGGGCCAACCTCAGAGAGCTGCGGTGCTAGAGGGAGACTGAGGCCTGGCTGGGCAGGCAAGGCCACAGGGGCCTGGTGTTCTCTCCTGCTCCTGCCACCTGCAGGACACCTCAGGTGGAGGGCCTGCCCTTCCTCCATGGGGTTGGAGGTGGTACTTCCTGCCTCTCTCCCCCACCCTGGCCTCAACTTCAAGTTCAGGTCAGCTGTGCCCCTCTGCCTCTCTATCCCTGTCTCTCCTGCTCCCCTCCCCCTCCCTGTGTCTCACACCCGATCCCCCCTCTCTCCCCATCTGGCATCCTCCAGCATCTCCATTCTTTCTCCCCTCCTCCTCTTCTCCTCTTCTCCGCCTATTCCTTTCGCTATCCTGCTGCCTGTGTCCGTGTCCACCCTCGCCTCTGTCTGGCTCTCTGGGTCCTCATCTTTTACTTTCTCTGCCCCTATCGGTTGGTCTCTCTCTGACCTGGGTTCCTGAATCTGACAATTTCTCCAGCATAGCCCTTCCTTTCCTTCTCCAGCAGGCCACACTTATGCCATCAGGGCTGCAGGAGAGAATAACGGTGTGGATTGACCACGGCTATTGCGGCCCTTTCTCTCTTGCTCCGTGGTCAAGGGCCTTCCCTCTAAGCTGGGATCATTGCAGCGCTTGGGGGAGGCCTCATCTCAACCTCTCTGGGGGGTGGAGGAGGCCTGTGGTAGGTAGGGAGCATCTGTGGGTGGTGGACCTGTCCTCTCGGCCTCCTTGCCCCAGTTCTGCCCTTGCCCTCCTGCCATTCCCCCTGACAAGTGTTCCCTTCCCCAGGTGTTCAGCACCTACTCCAACGAGGACTACGATCGTCGCAATGAGGACGTGGATCCCATGGCAGCCTCTGCTGAGTACGAGCTGGAGAAGCGAGTAGAGCGGTTGGAGCTGTTCCCTGTGGAGCTGGAGAAGGGTGAGAGGCCAGGGCCAGACCGTGTAGGTCTCCCGTCTGGTGCCAGCTTCAGCCCTGGGCCCGTCAGCGCCCCACAGCCACATGGACTCCAGTTCAGCCCCAAGCTCCCACCACCATTCCTGCGTGCTCCTTCAGTTGCCAGGTTCACAAAAGCACTGCGGGCTGCATCCTGGGCTGTGTGTTGGCCATATGATGATGGGGGACTGATGGGGACGGCAGATATTGATGAACAGTTGCATCTAACTACCTCCTTATGTGCTGTGATAGGTGCTGGGGAGGGGCCACTAGAACAGCATTTTATGGGAGACCTGACCAGACTTGGGGGGTAGGGGCGGGGTTCCCAAGGAAGCAATGCTTGAGTTGAGCTTTGAAGAGGAGGAGTTCAGGGGAGTGTGTGGGAAAGAGAAGACAGGCTTGACTGGGTTTGGACAGTGAAAGGAAGAAGGGTGTGTAAGCAAGGCCTCAGGGACTACATGAAGGACACTGTCTTTTCTAAGAGGGGCTGGAAGCCATCACAAGGTGTGGAAAAGGTATTCTAGAAAGACCACACCAGGCTGTGGTGTGGGGAGAAGGGTCCTAAGTGTATGGAGAGGGACCACTGTGGTATGGACAAGACGATGGCCATGGGGGAAGTGGCTGGACTTGAGAGATCCTGGGAGGTAGAATCGACAGGGTCTGGTGGTTATTTGGCTTGGGCAAAGGCTATGAGGGGGAGGGAGGAATCCAGGTGACTCCCAGGACCCGCGAGGGGTTGGCAGACAGGAAGAGCCTGTTTGTGGGGGAAGATGAGTTTGGATGTCAGAGGCCCTTGGGACCGGCAGGGGCAGCTATGGAGAGCGGAGTGGGCCTTGGGTTGAGAAGAGCAGGAGGTCTTTGGTCATTGAGGCTGTGAATATGGATGAGAATGCTTAGAGAAGGAAGAGACCAAGCCCACTGCTGACACCCCCTCCCCATCCCCATCCCTCCACACACCTTCATCTGCATACATACATCTCTGGCCCACCGATCCAGGCCACCCTCAGCAGGTCCCACTGCCTTTCAGTTCTTTGGGTGGGCAAAGGGCAGAATTGAACCAAGAGCATCCTAGTTGGCTCGGCAAAGTGGGGGTGGACAGAACTTCATTCCTTCCCCAGTTGTGGGATACCCCAAGCATGGAGACTGTTCCTGAGGTGGGGCTGTGCCCCAGAGTGGGGGTTGGGGATAGGGTAGGTCTCACTCTGTCCCTTGCAAGTCTCAGGCCAGAGCTCCTTGCCCACCCCGCCTTCACCACCACCACCCCTGCCACCAGCCTCTCACCACCCTCTGCTCCACAGACTCCGAGGGCCTGGGCATCAGCATCATCGGCATGGGTGCCGGGGCGGACATGGGCCTGGAGAAGCTGGGCATCTTTGTCAAGACTGTGACTGAGGGCGGCGCGGCCCATCGGGATGGCAGGTATCATCTCCCCCTTCCCCACTAGCTGTCATCTCGGGCGAGCCACTGAGCTGGGATGGCTACTACCTATGTGGGAGTTCACTACCTGTCCACTGTCAGATGTTCGTGGAGCACTACTGTGCCAGGAGCTGGCCAAGCCTGAGGTTACAGCAGGGAACAAGACAGATGGAACCCCCACCCTCGTGGCATTTGCGTCCTAGGGAGGCCGAGGACAGGGTCTGGTTTGGGGTATGTCGTGGGGCTGTGGCAGGGAGAGCTTGGGTGTGGAGGCTGTATGCCTGGTGGAGTACATTTGAGCATTCTTCTCTTCATTCAGCAAATATCCAGTCCCTGATTCTGTCATAGGGCTGGTGCCAGGCCCTGGGGAGTCAGTGATGGGGGCCTTGCCCTTGGGAAGCATGTGGTGTGGTAGGGCAGACAGACATTCAAATGGACAAACAGAAAATGATGAAATGGAGGAAAAGTACAGAGTGCCATGAAGGCATAAAAAGGAGGAGGGCTTGACTTCTCTGGGTATCAGGGAAGTCTTCCTGGAGGAAGTGATATTGGAGCTGAGACCTGAAGGATGAGTAGAAGTTAGCTAGGCCAAAGGATTATTATATGCAGGAGGCTCCTGGCAGGGGACTAGTAGCGGGGCAGGTATGGCTGGAGCCTAGAGAGCAAAGGAGATCCCAGGTGTGTGATGTGGCTAGAAAGAGGTTGGGGTGTGGCTAGAGAGGAAGCTGCTCCCTGCTTGTGTGCATGTGTGCCTGTGTTTAGCATCTGAAACTAGAGGAGGTATCTGTAGGTCAGAAAGTTGTGGGAGGGCCTTATGGACTCCCGGGCAGCCCAGTGACCCCTCTGTGGGCTGCTCCACTGTGTGTGTGTATTGCAGGGGAGAAGTGGGATGGGCTTTAGGGCACCTGTTGTAAGGTGGAGGTTGACATCAGAGATCCTTGTGGTGTTTATCTCCAAACCAGACCCCTTCCATGTACCAGAGTTGAGTGGGTATCCCTGTGAGAGCTGGGTGACTTTGGGGTCATGTTGCTAGAGGTGGGGTTGCCTCCTTCAGGGGGCTTCTATCTGCTGCAGCCCAGGTGGCATGGTAGGGGCAGAGAAAAGGAAGATGACGGTCCCTGGTCTATCACTTACCTCCGTCATTTGGACTTCCCAGAGCCTTTCCCATAGTCCCATGTTGGTTTGGGGAGTGTATGTGCATGTGAGAGAATGTGCCCACGAGCTTGTGCCCACATGTGGGTCAGCTGCTTACAATAGGCCATTTCCACATGGGAGCCCTGAGAGAAGGCCTGGAGCTCTCAGGGAGGTAGGAGTGGAAGAAGGAGGTGACCAAGGGTCCCCCAGTTACTTCATCCCCCTCAGCAGGCCAGTCTGGACTACCGCCATCTCTCTCCTTGTGTAGAGAACAAGGGCTTCCAGTGCTACAGCTGGAGCATGTTGGGGGTTATGCACCTGTATCAGGATGAGGTGAACTTGTGGGACAGAGTGTGAACATGAGAGAGTGTGTTATGTGGTTCTCAGGCATCGGGAGGAGATCTTCAGACTCAGGTCTGTGCAGATGTATACGTGGAAGAGGGCTGTGGGTCCGTGCCCATGTACATGGCGGTGATGAGCTCTGTGGCTGTCACACTGCTATGTGTGCTTTGCTTGCCCGGGTCTCACTGCCCACAGGTGGGTCTGGATGATATCTGATCCTCATGCCTCGTGCATTTTACGTAGGTAGACAAAGTACCAGGTCCCTGTGGGGACTGAGCCTCGAGGTTCTGATGGGAAGGGAGCCACCTCTACCCCAGCTTCACTGGTCCCCTCATGAACCCCCTAACCAATGTCGCCTCCCCTAGGATCCAGGTGAACGATCTCCTGGTGGAGGTGGATGGAACCAGTCTGGTGGGAGTGACGCAGAGCTTTGCAGCCTCCGTGCTCCGCAACACCAAGGGCCGAGTGCGGTGAGGGACAGGAGGCTGGGGCTGGGGCTGGGGGCGGGGAGGAACAGGCAGGAGGCTTGGCCCTCATCCAGACACTGCCCAGTGCCCACACCCAGTTAAGGTTCTGGGTGGCCCAACTCATAGAGCATGTCCCACTGCCTCTCTGCCTGAAGGAGTTGCTGTGCCCATATCCTTTGCCCCATGTCTGCCTTCCCATCCTAAGCCCCTGACCGCTGCTGGTCACCAGCACTTCAAGGCCCACAGTCCACAGCACCTCCAAACTGGCCTCTTGGGTTCATTTCTTCTTCCCCCTGCCTGTCCTGACTTAACTCACTGAGGAACCAAAATGTATAGAGGGAGTGCCATCCAAATTGGGGTCTCCCCACTGGGCATTTCATCCCTTCCTCCTCACCTGCCCTGTGTAATCCTGGGAGCATTCTCCTCCCTGGGCCTGTCATTTAAGGGGGTCGTGTTAGAAGCTCCCTGCGTGTCTCTCTGGCATAACATTCAGGGACCACTCCCTGCCCCCTCCAAGAGGGGCACTGCCCCCAGGAAAGGGTGGTAGAGAGAAACAGGATGTGGGTGGCCACGGAGAGGAGGGGCTGGTGCCTGGAAGTTCCACTATTTCCTCTCCATCCTAATCTCCAGTCACCATCATCCCGCCCCTTCCTGAAACTCAGGGCCCTGGAGCGCATGCGAGACATCCCTCCACAGCCCAGGCTTTGCTGGGGTGGGTCGGCTTTGCCATCCTCTGTCTCATTTTCTCTCATGTCAGGGCCTCTACACTGGCAGCTCCTGAACTCATGTCCCTAACCCTAACCCTAATATCACCCCTCCCCCAAAACTGGCCAGGAGGGCTAGTAGGCTTCTGCCTCTCCTGCGAAGGAAACCCAATAAGGGCCCCCAGCTCCCCTATTCATTATTAACATTCTGCAGCCTCTGGACTCAGCCCTCTCATTTCACCTCCCCTGGGAGGGCCTGGGTGTGGAGAGAGGAGCACCAGTGGGGAGGATGATGGCATTACCCAGGTGAGGACAGAGGCAAAAGGGGTGACACTGGTGCCCCTACAGGTTTATGATTGGCCGGGAGCGGCCAGGTGAGCAGAGCGAGGTGGCCCAGCTAATTCAGCAGACCCTGGAACAGGAGCGATGGCAGCGGGAGATGATGGAACAGAGATATGCCCAGTATGGGGAGGATGATGAGGAGGTAAGGACACCTGGCCTAGCTGGCAGCACCATCGCCCCCTGGTGGCTGGATAGAGCTTTACATCCATCCACTGTGCTTGTAAAGGAGCCCAGAGCACCATTCCCAAACTTAGGGAAGCTCCCAGTCTGAGGGAGGCGATGCAGACCAGTCCCTCCAGGAACTTTGAGTCTGATGGAGGAATCACATCATTTGTCTTCAGAGAGCTTTCCTAGTCCTACAACGAAAACACAGTTTCTCAAAGAGCCCCCTCTGAGGGGAAGGCATAGCCCCTAAACTCAGGGGACATGATCTGAGGAAGGAGACAGCTCCGGACCTCAGGGGACCCATAGTATGAGGGGTTGGGGGGTTGGGAAACACAGGTTGTTTCTTCAGGGGTCTCAGTCTTATAGGGGAACCAGCCATGCCTTCAGGGGAAGACACAAACCATGACTCTGGTATGGCCCCCAGTCTGATGGGGGAGGCGTGAAGCACACCTCTGAGTAGCGAGCTCCCAGGCTGACATGGGAAGACTGCTGCCAGTGCAGGTCCTGGTCCTCAGGCCTGAGGGAGGCTGGGATGGGCACAGTGCACAGCCTCCTATCTCCTTCGCAGACAGGCGAGTATGCCACCGACGAGGATGAAGAGCTGAGCCCTACGTTCCCGGGTAGTGAGATGGCCATCGAGGTGTTCGAGCTGGCGGAGAACGAGGATGCCTTATCCCCTGTGGACATGGAGCCCGAGAAGCTGGTGCACAAGTTTAAGGAGGTGGGAGGAGGGGTTCCCTAGGGTGGTAGAGGGCAAAGGCAGGCCAGCACCCCGCCCTGCAGTACTGCCTGCCCCAGTCAGCACTGAGCGCCTGCCCCTCTCCCTCACAGCTCCAGATCAAGCATGCTGTGACTGAGGCAGAGATCCAGCAGCTGAAAAGAAAGGTGAGAGGGGGGATGTATTGGGGGGAGGGACAGGGTCTGAGGGCTGGGGGGACAATCACCCATTCTCAAACCTGCACATGCTGACACTTGTCCACCACCCACCACCCATAGGCACAGACAGAACAAGCTACTCTGAGGATAGTGTTAGGAACTCAGGCTCTGGACCCATCTACTCCACCGTTCACTTGCTATATTGTGCCACAGTCTCCTCACCTAAGAAATGGGGCAATAATAGTGCCAACACCATAGGATCGTTGTAAGGATTAAGTGAGGTAATACATGGAAAGTCCTTAGCACAATGTCTGACACATCATAGGTGCTCAATAAAAAGTTGAGTTATTAGCATTATACTGAAGCACACTAAGTTACACTCTAGGTGTCTTCACGTTCCTATTGTTCCACATGTGTTCTCTCTACATACAAGCCCAGCGATAAATGCAAACTGTCTGTCGATACACACGGGCACATGCCAGCCTGGGCCCCAGGCACATAATACAGAGCCACTCACCCACACACCCAGATACCCACTCTACACAGGCAGAACACGGAGACGCTGGACCCATGTATCACATGACATTACACCCAGGTGCATCATCCTGGAAATGTAGACCCCACCCCCCACCCTCCACCCCTCCCCACATTGCTGTGCTGTGAGATGCACAGACGTGGCCATCACACAGGAAGAGCGTCATAGGGCACGTGCCTTCTCACAGCGGTGCTGATGCTGACGCTACCAGATAATGACACAAACATGACATATATAATCATGTACATGTACCATGCACAGACACCCACACAAGCACATTGGGTGCTAACACTCTGGCAGGCATGGAGATGCCCAGACTTCACATTAAAAGTCTATAGTGGGCCCCTGCTGGGCCTGGACATTAGGAGTCCCACCTTTCGTGGGGCTTCCAGTATGGTAGGGAAAGGCAGGTGTACACAGGGGCCATGCGGACACGGTACACTCAGGTACATCTGTGTGTGTACGCCCACATGTGGGTTTACACCCCGCACGCATGTAGAGAGGAGTGTGTGAAGCTGAGCCGCAGGGAAGGCAGAATTTAGATGACTGAGGCAGAGGAAAGGCATTGCTGGCAGGGAGACAAGCTCGGGCTTGGGGGCTGGCTTTGGAAGGAGGCCCGCGTGCTGTGGCAGCTGTTCCTGCGATGGAGACGTGGGAGCAGAGCTGGACTGCCAGGGGGCCGTAGCTGCAGTGTCCTAACTCCCCTAAGGACTCTAGCCTTGGACCTGTGGCCACATGGGGGCCATAAGGGGGAAGGTCCCACTGCCTATGAAGTGGGAGGGCAGCTAACTTAGAGGCCCAGGTGGTATCTGGCAGGGGCAGAACAGGGCTGCCCAGAGTGTGGCAGAGGGTATGGAAGGGGAGAGCAGGTTGGAGCTGCATTTCTGAGGTCCTGATGACAGGCCACATTCCTGGGTGGATGCAGAGCATGAAGGGAAGGGGCAAGTCAAAGGTCGTTCATGCTTTCAGTCTACAGACATATATCTCGGGTGCCTTCTAGGTGACTGGCTCTGTTCCAGTCTGTAATGGGCAAAAGCAGGTTACATGATCCTTGCCCTTGTGCATTGGTCTGCACACGGATGACTGTATGGTTACACACTGCCACAGGGCCCTGTGGGAGAGGACGGGGTTACTGAGCTCCTAGAGCCGCAGGCCATGGTCCAGGTTGTGGGGTGGGGGTGCTGTGCTGTTGGAGGGACTCACAGGAGACTTCTCTGGGTAAGTGACATTCTGAGCAGAAAGCCATAGGGAAAAGGCTGGGGCAAGAGGGAGGGAAGATGGGAGTATTCCAGGCAGAGGGAACAGTACAGGCAAATGCTCTGTGCTGGGAGGGAACCTGCATGTCTGAGTGTTTGCAGGAAGGCCTGTGTAGCTGGGGCACAGAGAGCAAGTGGTGTTTTCAGCCAACAAGGTTGAGGGGGCGGGCAGGAGCCGGAGGCTGAGTGCTGGGGTGGCAGTGAGATGATGGTACCTTTGAGCAGAGGTGCGCTAGACATGAAGGAGGAATAGGTTTGTGTGGATGGGGTCGGGCTGGGGGCGTGGTGCCTATGAGAAGGTGGGAGTAAGGTTGGGCTGGAGCTTGGAACTCAGGGCTCTGCGTGCATAGAGGAGGTGTGGGAAGTGAGTAGAGAGAACAGGGGCTCTAGAACTGAGCTGTTGGGGCTGGGAGGCCTGCACTGGGATGGTCTGTGAACTGGGAGAAAAGCCAGGAAACCACAGAAGCAGGGACTGGTCAGTAGGGCCAGAGCTGCAGAGAGGGAACAGAGGGCAGTGGTGGCCCTCACCTGTCCGCACTTGAGCATCTGTCACCTCACTGTAGCCGTTGTAAGTGTGGCAAGGCAGGAATCACTCCCGTTTTATAGATCAGAGGATTGAGGCTGAAGGCTGAAGTTGCCTTGCCTCAAGTCACAGAGCTAACCCAGGCCTCCTGCCTTGTAGGAGTGTGGTACAGTGTCAAGGACTCTGGCTGGAAGCTTTGAGGCCGAGTTCCTACCTCTTCCTTCTTCGGTTTCAGGTCTCAGACTCAGCCAAGGAGTTAGCAGTGGGGGTGAGGGGCAGTGGGCCTTTTATCTGCAGGAATCATTCAGAAGACTCTGGCCCCAGTGCAGGATGGGGGTGTTCCTGGGCTCCCTCTGGCCCCCACCAATCCAGGGCTGCTCCTTTCTCTCTCAGCTGCAGAGCCTGGAGCAGGAGAAGGGGCGGTGGCGGGTGGAGAAGGCCCAGCTGGAGCAGAGTGTGGAGGAGAACAAGGAGCGCATGGAAAAGCTGGAAGGCTACTGGGGTGAGGCCCAGAGCCTGTGCCAGGCTGTGGACGAGCACTTACGGGAGACCCAGGCCCAGTACCAGGCCCTGGAGCGCAAGTACAGCAAGGCCAAGCGCCTCATCAAGGACTACCAGCAGAAGTATGTAGCCAGAGGGCTGGGGGTTGGGGGTTCTGGGCCCGGGAGGATTGAGAGGCCTTTTGTGGTAGTCCCGCTCCACCCCCAGCTGAGTAGGGAGGTGAGAAACAGAGAAGCTGGAGGGCCCCGTGATGGTGGTGGTACCTGGGCACCAGGGCCAGCATGGCCAGACCCCCGAGGCTTTAGGAGTACCTGAGCCCCCCTGACCTGAGAACAGGGAGAGACTAGAGCTGCCCAGGTGGAGCTGAGGACAAGGGTGAGGACCCTGACACTCCCTAGATGGAAGCCATGCCACACACACTTACCCACTCACTGTCGTTAACCCTGCTGATCCCAGGGAGATCGAGTTCCTGAAAAAGGAGACTGCACAGCGCCGGGTTCTAGAGGAGTCGGAGCTGGCTAGGAAGGAGGAGATGGACAAGCTCCTGGACAAGGTAGGCCCAGGGGTGCCCTGGGGGCAGGGCCCCACGGAGGGAGGAGCAGGTAAGCCCCCATCTAGCACCCACTCTGTGGATCCTTGTGCGAGAGAGGGGGAGTCATGCTGCTGGCTGAGAGCTCAGGGTCATATTCCCACCAGTGGGACAGAAGGGGCAGGGCCCATGCCTGTTACCCAGGCCTGACCCCCTCTCCCCTTTGTTTTCCAGATCTCAGAACTGGAAGGAAACCTGCAAACACTGAGGAATTCCAATTCTACTTAACAGGAATCATTCCTTGACCAGACAATAATTAATCCCCTCCCATTGTCCTCTCTCCCCTGTCCTCAATACTCCACCCCGCCCCTTACCAGCCTGGGGACAGGTGCCCCGACTCCCCCACCCCTCCACCCCACCTTTCCCAGCTTCAGGGACCAGAGGGCCCATATCACAGGCCCCCTTATGGTGGCCTGGGCAGACAGAGGTGGCTGGAAAGATGGCCCCCATTTTGCACCATGGGGCTGAGGCACAGAGGCCGAGGGATGCCAAGGGCTGGCTTGGGTGATGGATGGACACAGGGACCCGCAGACCAAACTGCCAGACTTTACAACCTGCAGCCTTTGTCTCTGGACTGGAATGGGGCTGAGGGCTCTCCCCGCATCTCACCACCTGGAGGCTGCTCCCCACCCATCTGGCTCCTGGGTGACCCCTGGGCCTCTTAACTGAGATTCGACTTCCTTGGCCCTTCTCCTTCCCTCATCTTTGTGCTGTCTCTGTTGCATTCTGACCCTCTTTCTGGGAGGAGTTGCCTCCACGCCTCCTCTCATCCCTGTCCCCTCTCCCAGGAGGGGTAGAGTCCACCCCAGAGCCTGGAGGCTGGGTCTGGCCCTGCACTGATTTCTCATGTATCCTTCGGGAAAAGGGGAGTGAGAGTAGGAAAAGGGGGGCAGCAGCCCTCAATTTCTCCTTGTGCCTCCCCGCCGTGCCCGCCTTTCCCTGGTGCCAAATAGCCATAACCTCTCCCGGGAACTGTTCTGTGGCCTCTTGGGGCCAGTTTCCTGGCTGAGCCTGGGTGTGCCAGGGAGGAGAGGATGTCGGCTTAGGGGGCTTGGCTGCAGAGACCCTGGACTTAGGCAAGGGGAACATTTCTGAGAGCCAGGCCCTGCCCTGCCCTGCCCTGCCCTGGGCCACACCTGGAAGCCTTGTACTAACACCACAGAGATTCAGCCTCATCCCACCCACACCCACACTGTTTTCCAATGTTTTGACTGGAGGGCAAAATTTTACTATTCATCTTTTTGGAGACCAGGGCTGCCCTGCTGACAGCCTGCTTTCTAAGTGAAGTCGACTCCGTTTCCCGACTTTAACCCCAAATTGGGGCTTTGACCAAGGGAGGTGAGATCTGACCCTAACTACCCCCACCCCCGCCCCAGGTTCCCTCCCCTTTCAGATTCCATCTCATTTTGCCCCTCCCTAGCCTGGGTTTTTGTTCGTTTTTTTAAACACACAACCCTCGGTCCCATCCGTTTTGGCTTCTCCTCGTCCCCTGTAAATAGACCATGCCATCGATCAGTATTTCTCTCCACCCCCTTCCTGTCCCCAGACATGTCCCTACCCCTTTGAAAGAGCTGGCTATCAGCGTCCCGGCCCTTGCCTCCTCCACCACCTGGCAGATGGAGGGGGCGGAGTCAGGTGGGCGGGACCTCGGGGCGCTTCCGGTTTCTCGGGCCAGTGGCTGCCCCTGCCCCGCCCTCCGCAGGACTGCGTCTCTGTATATAATATATATATGTATGTATTGTTCCCGGTTTTGTACGGACCATGCCCTCTGTCAGGTCGTCCCATAAAAGCAGCCCCCAGAGCCTCAATGCCTGGTTTCTTGATTCGCAGGAGAGGGTTGGGGGGAGGGACAGGGATGTCAATCTGTGTGCCCAGTGATTCCCTGGCACCAGTGCTCTGTTCCTGAGGATCTTCCTAAGAAATCCCCTCTTCCCGGTTCCAGCACACTCCTTCTCTGCTACCATTGCCCCCGTCAGCACCCGTGCTGTTTTCTCCATTCCAGATAGTTCCTTAGGTGTATTGCATTCCTTTTTTTTACAAGGTTTCTGATGGAATTTGAGGATGGGTTAGATATGGTAAGGTGAACCCCAAGCCCCTACCCTGGAGAAATATTCTAACCTGATGGGGATATCCAGCCCTACTCTCACAAGGCACCCTGTAGAAGGTACATGAAAGATCTAAGGTTTCCATGAAGTGGTAGTTGGAGGTGGGAGATGACATGTCAGAGCAGTTTTGTCCCCAGGGTCCTAGAGAATCCCTCTGGAGAGGCCTTAAATAGTTCGAGCTCCCTGCTGTGTGCCAGCAGGTCTGGTTGCTAACTCACTGGTTCTAATATTGTAGATGCCAGGGTTCCAGGGACAAGCCTTGATGAAGTCCCAGAGGTGAGAGCAGGGAGGTGTGGGCCACGGCTTGTGGCCATTCCCAGCACCAGCCTCTCTTTGCTCAGAGTGCTGAGGTGTACACTTATGCGTGAGAACTGAAGTACAAGTTGTGTTCAGCGGCCTGGCTCCCAAGGAGATTCTCACATTCTCCTTTGCCCTAAGGAATAGAAGTTCCAACATCAGGGCCTTTCAAGGTCACCTTGGTGGGTCCCTGACAACACCTGACATGAGTGGCCTCTACCAGAACTCCCAGTGGCAGTCAGCTCCTTGTGGATGGCTCTGTCACACAAGTCTTACTATCAAGCCAAATTCTGGCTTCCCATAGCTTTTAAACACCATAGTTCTATATCTCAGGGCCATATAGGACCCGTCCAAGTCCTGCTTCCCACCTGAGGGTCACCTGGAAACTTGGAGACAGTGACCGTGCCTCTTAAGGTATCTTCTCCAAGTGGATCATCCTTGGAACACTTCTGGGAAGACAGATCCAGGTGGCTGAATCCCAAGATCAGAGACCACCAAACCAAAAGGTCACACACAGCTTATTGCTCTAGAGTTAAGAGGTCACTGAGGCCCCACTTAAGAAACCTAACCAAGTCCCAAGAAGTAAAGTGGCTGGACCTCCCTGAGTAGGGAGATAGATGTGGGGGTTGTGGTGAAGGATTCTGCTGGTCTGACGGGCCAAGCATGCAGGTTGGTGTTCTGCTGCTGCCCCCTGTCCTGTGTATTAGGGGAGGGGCCTGCATATTGTATGTTCCAAAAGGTGAGCCAAGTAGCCCCCCATGTCTAAGCTTAAGTGTGTGTGGCTGAGGGTGCTGTGTGAAGCTTTGTTGTGAGTTTCTCAGACCTGAGATGTGACTCACCCATGAGATATGTCCATGTTTGGGGCTGTGTCAAGTGGCTATGGGAAGGCCTATATGAGGCTTGTTATCTCAATCAGCCCTGTCACCTGCCCAGTTCTTTGTAGCTTGGGCAGTTTTGCCATAACCCCAACACTTGCTGTAAAGGAGGGAAATCAGATGAGGGTTTTCTCAATTCCCAGAAGCTTAGGCATCACTAGGAATGGGGTCCTCCCAGATCCTATGGCTTTGCAGACACCATCACACAGAAGCTGCCCCCCACCAGCACTGACAATACATACTCATCATTTCCCTACTCCCTACAGGGACTTATATAATCAATCACCCCACTCCAGCCTACCACCCAGATCTCACTAGATGTCTGCAAACCATGTCCTCTATAAAGGCTCCAGATACTGCCCCAGTAGACTTTCACCCAGAGACACCCCCCCCCAGATCGCCACAACCTAGCAAGTACCCCATGGCTGCCTGCAGATTCTAAAGATACCCAGAGACCCCCAAACTCCTACAGATCTCCTTGGACACTATTAGCCCCTAAAGGTTATTCTATCCTCACATTCCCAAGACCTTCCTGGCTTAACCTGCCATCTCCATCACATCCCCTTGGAGACCTGGGACTGCAGAGATTGGGGAGCTCTGTTCCTAGAGACTGCACCCCTCTCCCCTAAGCTCTAGTCCCCTATCCAACCTCACCGACTTGCTCTTAAACTACTTTCATTCTTCTCAGTCTCTGTTTTCCCCTCTTCAAATGGGGGTAATAGTTTTTATTGTGAAGGTGATAATAATCTGAGAAAAGGGCTTAGTACAGTGCCTGGCACCTCCTAAGCCATTGCAGTATGGTAGCTAGTTGTTGATTTTTACATTATCTCCCCTGGCTGGCGTGCCTCCAACTCCAGCTCACCAGGTCCAAGTCTGATCTCATCACTCTCATCCCCTCATCCCTGCTCACCACACCTCCAGGGCTCCCTGATCAAGCCAAGCCCTGCAGTCATCATAGACCCCTCCTCCCTCAGTGACCAGCCAGTCCCCAAATCCTGTCAATCTTTCTTTTCAATTCTACTCCTGAATTGTTCTCAACTTGTTCTTTGATCTTCATGCCCACTGCCTTCATCTCTCCACAGCTTCTTGAGGGGTGGTCCCAAGCTTCAGGCTGCCCTCTCCAGTCCATTCTACACAGAGGGGCCAAGGGTTCTTACTACAATGCAAGTCTAAGCCCCTCCCTCCTCTGTTACTTTTACCCCTCTGGCTGAGAATAAAGGGCAAGCCCCCGGTCCATCCCACCCCCACCCCCACCCCTCAGTCCCACTAGCACTTATACGCTGCCCCGGCCTGCCGGAGTAGCCATCACATCACCTCCTCCGGGAATCCTCCCGGTGCCCCCCACCCCTCCGCGGTGCGCTCTCCGGTGAATCAGGCCTTACAGCACCGGGCGTGTGAGGGCCTCTCCACCCGTCTGTCCCCCTACTACGCCGTGAGTCCCGCGGCCGGGACCGGATTGGTTCTGTTCCCCAAGGCCCTTCGGGCCTCGTCGCACACGACCACTCGGTGGACGTCTGTTGAGTGGATGAATCAGGAGCCCTTACGGACCTAGCAGAGGAGGCGGGAGATCGGTGGGTCCTAAGAGCTGTTCCGCGGCCGCTCCCCACCCACCCCGCCCGCCCCTGCTCCCGCGGGCCGAGTTGTAGACAACTCAGAATCCCCTCGCCCGGCAGCCTCCTCCCCTCCGCGCGCGCCGCCTCCTCCCCTCGCTCCCCCTCCTCCCGCTCTTTGTCTCCCGGGCGCCGGCCTCCCCGCCACGCGCCCCCCGCATCGCCCCTTACGGGGGACCCCCGCCGACGCGACGCGTGTAGGCCTGCCAGGCGGGGGGCCCGCGTCCGGCAGGGCCTGGCAGGCGGGTGGGGCGGGGAGGTCTCTCTCTCTCTCTCTCTCTCTCTCTCTCTCTCTCTCTCTCTCTCCTCTCTGTCACACACACACACACACACACACACACACACACACACACACACGCACACACACACGCGGAACACTGAGCATCCTCCCGTCAGGTCTGGTCCAGCCCCGCCCGCGCCTCCTGCTTCCTGCAAACCTTCTCCTTCTCTCCCGTACTACCCCCACTCCCTCCGGCTTCCGGACCCTCCTCGCCGGCCCCCCACTCCACTCCCGGGATGGAGCGGCTCGAGCCAGCCCGGAGCCCCCCGCGGCCGGGGTGACAGCCCCCGCCCCTCTCCTGCCGGGCCCCCGCCCGGAGCACCATGGGCCCGAAGGGTTCCCGAGGCGCCGGAC